CTAACCCTACAGAATCTATGCACATCTTAGCTGAAGCACTGCCAAGACGAACTTGGTAAGGGTTATATGGAGATAACGCCTATTTCTCAGATTTTCACAGACAGAAATTATTTTACTGCTTTTGGCTTCTTTTATAGGTAAACGAGAGTACAGCGAATGGGGAATAGTATGCGTAAACGCACCTATACCTCAAAAAACAAAGTTGATCTCTTTCGATCAAGATTTCTGGTTTGTAATGTGCACACAAATGCTCTTAAGCTCATACTATTATACTGCATTATTATTCGCTACTAACATTAGCCATCAGCGTTCTCTGAAGCTTCGTAATGTCGAACACGCAAGTAAAATCTGACAAAAACTTCATCGTAACTAATGCACCCTTTGCCTCAACTGCAGAAACATATGTAGTACAACGATCTATGATGCGAATCTGATGAAACGACTTCAACCTACTTGGACAATCCACCGGAAATTCTGCAGAACAAGCAACATTTGCAGCGATGCAAGATTTTGTTCACTATTACAAAAGTGGAAAAGTTGAAAATGGGAAATTTCGTAGGATCTTCACGTTAGACTGATTAAAGACAGAAATTTCCGCAGAACTCTTTACAAAACGCTGCGAAAACACCGAAAAAGAGTTTGTCGTAGCGTCTTCAAGTATAAAGTGCGATGGTTCACACCTTGTGGAGGGCACAATTCGACTGATTATGAGTACACCTAGTGCTTATCCATAATTCATTGAGAATGGACTCATGATCATAAGTCGAGTGACCTTCGCAACACCATCCATTCACCGAGAAATTCATTCATTGATTTAAAAAAACTGAATTATCTTGGCTTTCATGACTACAGCTTTAGTTTTCTGATTTACCAATGTAGTTGTGAGCTATTACTTTCCAAATTGGAAGTTTGCAGTCTTGAACTTGCGAAGATGGAAGCGGGTCCCTAGCCAAGCCTTCAACAATTTTTATACATCAACTCGGTTTACAAAACTTATAAAATTGTTTTTTCTAGAAATTACTTAGACCACTCTCAAATATGTTTGTCGCGACCGCGCTTTTTTGGCGACGAACTTAGGCTTTTGAGTAAATGCGCTGGAGTCTGCAGTTGTTATCGCTCGAAAAACATGAAGATAGAGCACGCATCCGAAGTTCTGGAATGTTCTTCTCTGAGAAAAGGTAAGGCAAAAGACAGTGTCAAAGTTGTAGCTGCATATGCAACGCTGTACTTTTCATATAAAGTCCAGCAAGGGTTGGATCTAGGGTCCGGCATGAGTCCGTTTCCACGTTTTTTTTTTGAAAACGAAGTCCCCATTGACTTTCTCCAAAATTTACGAAGTCCCCTCTTTCCCGAACTATACCTTTAAAAAACCCTTAAAAAACGAAACGTCGACTAGAAAGAAAAAACGTCGCATTTTTTGCGTCTTTTCGGCCACAAAGCCTATCCCCTTTGCTTTTTCGCTCCAAAAACGAGGTTCAGCTCGTTTCCATACGATCTATGCCGGACCCTGGTTGGATCTGCGTGAGAGAGTCATCAAGATGAGTAATGAAGGAGGGTAGAGGAAGAAACAGCAATGTTCTGCGAAGATTTTATGGAAATGTCCATGAGACACCCAGGAAACGAACACAAATGACTTTGGTCGCAATAAAACCAAAGAAGGAGAAGCCCTGGTCATTCCTTGTTTTGAGCTTTAACCAAGAATCTATACATTAAATGTCTGTCCCAATAATTCGCCATTGCTGCTTATGTGCGAATGCAAAAGTGCTCAAATGCTGTGCAAACGATCGAGGTGGATAAATCGCATTTATTATTCTATTTCAGTCAACTGCAACAAGTCGAGCTTGGCAAATTACCATCTGCACTTTGCTCGAAATAAATCGGTGCGAGCATTTCTGAGAAAAATTACAACTGCGAAGATTTGCAGAATTATTTTGTAGGCGAAATGACACGAGAAAAATGCAGCGATGTTGCCCATTGCTTTGGCAAACATTCCCGTCACTGCGACGGACACACGAAAAACAGCAGCAAATCATGTCGTTTCGCGAGAAAAGTGCACAAAGCGACGAGTGTTTGCTACGGAAGCCAGCACGACTGCCATCCATTACATTCGGCTCTTTCGCGATGAAAAACAGAGGGCGAATCTCTAGCGTGTGGTCTCACAAACAACCGTCGAAAAGGAGGTTTTGAGTTTACGAGAAATTTTCTAGCATTCGATAAATAGTGGAGACGATCGATTTCACAGAATTTTTGGTAAGATTACTTCAGTTTCAATGCGTTATTGCTCATTCAGAAATGACGCTGACAAAAAGAAAGAATTCTCAAGGTTGACACACTAAGGCCACGCTGAATTTTTCTATGAACCCCTCTCGCGACCTAGTAATTATAGAAAAATTCACAATTTTCAGATTCTATTTCTCCCGTCGAAAACGTGCTTAGCAGTGCCGTAGTATATTTTCAGTACAATTTTACAGCGTTTTTATTCAGTTCTCAGGAATATGAACGAGTTGAAATATGAGAGATGATCCCGGGTCTCCAGAATCACACAAATTAGTGAAATAGTGAAAATCAAATACCTCATTCTGACAGCAAAGCTAATAGTTCTACGCCTTAACGGGAGTCTATTTAACTTCTTAGGCTTTTTCCTGCAAGTGATAAAATCGAGAGGTTGATCCCTAATGTTCCCCACTTGATAGGCTCTGACGAAGGCGACTAGGCCGAAACGTTAGCCGAATAAATGCGATAATGATCTTGGTGTTGGCTTCACAAAAGCAACTTACTCGAAAATCAAATTCTCAATGGCAGTAACCTGGCATCTATTATGCGCAGGAGGGTATGAGAACCTCCACAATCCAGAGAGAGAAAGAAGGAGAAAGAGATCTAAAGCAGAGAGATATGACGCGTCCCCTTTCAGATCCTCTCACCTCCCCGCAAGGATATTCGTGCATAGGTCCTAAGCCTTTCTTTATAATGAGCTTGCATCAGAATTTCAGTAAATGTTGTTTTCTTCTTTGAAAATTGCTGCCTAAAAATCATAGAACCTATGTATGCAACAGAATCTCAGACGTTTCAAATAACGCGAAATTCTATATACCTCCATGTATGCCCGTCAAAAAGGCAGAACCTTTTTGGCTTTCTCAGTTAATGACGAAGACGCTAACGCAGATTTTGATGGTGTATATGATGATGGTTTGCAGATGTGTATATATGCTATCAATTATAAACAAAGTTATTTTGAATGCAATCAATTTTTCTTTGATGTTATAGGGTGTACTGATGTATGCCGAAAACTAGACTACAGTCGGTCATTTAGATCACTTAGATATTACATGGTTTACACAGTGTTTGCGCAGACTTTTTCCAGAGTTTTGTACTAAGCATTACTACTGTTGACACACCTTGGAAAACGCAAGTTGAATGTTATCACGATTTCTGCTTTGGAAAATAAGAAAGCATTTGTGAGGTGGCTCGTAACCAAACTAGTCTTTCCTAATTAAGGATGGTGAGAGTAAGTAAGCGAACTAGAACAACGCAAACATCAAATGTGCGAAAGCATTGGGACAGACCGGTCAATGGTGGGAAAACCAGGCGTACGCGGAAGGATAATATCACTCTAATGAGATAGAAAGTGGATAATGGGTCTTCATACCAGTGACAGGAACAGTGGGTTTTCTATGCTTTTTCCGAATTGCGGGGCCAGAGGCCGACGTAAAAGTCGGAAAGCATCCGGAGATTTTTCCAGAAGACATGGCCAACATTCGATTTTTACTCCTTCCTCCCCCCCCCCCCCCCGCCCCAAGAAATAGGAGAAGAACTTGCCCTGGCTTGGATGAAAAAGCTTTTTGTTATCGAAAGGAGAGAGAGAGAGAGAGTCATACCGCACAATGCCATGTTTTATACTACGAAACCGTGGAAGGTCCTATAATATTTATAAGAACTTGACGAGCCGCCCAGCTACAATGTCCTCTAGCAGTGAAATTCTGTTTTGATATAAGCGGTTAGATCTCTTTTAACTCGAAGAAATTTGTTACTACGAGTAGAACAACGATATCTGCATAATTATTCATTGTTTGTGTTCTTACTGTAAAGAAGAAAACTTCAAAAACAAATCATCTGGCCATGAAAATTCCACTGCTGTTTCAACTGATGATATCATTATTTTCAAAACTTGTTCGATTTTCAGAAATTTTGACGCAAGTAAACATATGTGCATGATTTTCTCACATGTAGGGTATTTTCAAGCAAACCTCGACCAATTTTCAGGGGAGGTGGAGAGAGGGAGAGAGGGAGGGGGGACGGGGGTTTGTTGCGCAGTTGCGCTCATATCATCCCATTCATGTCCGAAGATCATTTTGGGTTGCTCTTCTAACAAAATCTTTGCAATTTCTAGAAGCCCCTCCGCATGCACTGCTTAAGAAAGATGAAAGAAAATGGCGACTAACATAGTGGTTGCTCAAGGTTGAGTAGTAGGAGTAGCGTGAAAAGAAGCACCAAATTGCCTTCGAATTTGTTAAGAACTTGACCTCAAGTAAGAGGTAGACTCGATGTATTCGCCATCAACGCAGGGTCTGGCTATCGGAGGTCAGCCGTCGGGAGTGTTGGTTTAACGGTGTGCGCAAACATTTGAGCGCATCCGACACCGCGACGAGGAAAATTCGCTGTTACCAGGATGCTTTGCAGTTGTCCCACACCGTACGGCCCCGGGCAGACTTCACGCGATTTGATCGTCGCGACTGATTCGCGACGAGACAACTGTTACAACATCATTCCATGCCGATCAACTTGCATTCGATTGTGATACTTTTTCAGACCGAAATTTTTGAATGTGAAATGAAAATGAATGGAAATCTTGGCGATTAGATCGCGACGATTAAGTCGCTTGAAGTCTGACCGGGGCCTACCCTACGAAAAGTAGCATGCAAAACAATTACTCTCATGTTTGCGATAAGGATAGCTTATCGCATTCATGCCTCGAGTATATAAATGCACCTAATTCGAGTATTGTTCATTTCTTACTGCAAAATTACTCGACATTAGCTTACTGCAATGGCTGTCGTTTGTCAACTGATACAACTGAAAGGTTGTTGTGGAAACTCAATCACTTCTGCGCCAGCCTTCAATCCAATTTCAGAAGGTCAAACTGTAGGCGATTGGACTGTGACGAAAAAGATTGGTGAAGGAGGTTTTGGAGCCATATATTTATGCAAAAGTAAGGAGGGTGAAGTGAACGCACTCAAGGTTGGCAGAAATCAAAGTCTCATTCTTTTCTTGAGGAAGCGAACTTGCAGGTAGAAGCCGAGAACGATCCTTTGGGACTGCTTAAAATGGAAGTCTATGTGTTAATGGAACTGAAAAAAACAAAGTTTCAAGGTGCCTTGGAGGTTCAGTTCTCGCATTTGCACCATGACCACAAATTCAGCTCGCCATTTTCTTGCCTTGAAGGATAGAGGCCATGTGCCGGGGAAGTTCAACTATGTAGTAATGACTCTTGTGGGGAAAAGCTTACAGGCTCGTCTTGCAATCATCTTCAGAACTTTTTCTATCGAATCTCTTTTCCAGGAGTTACGAAACGAGGCACCAATGAAGAAGTTCTCAATGGGAACAGCGATATCGGTTGGGCGACAATGTCTTGAGGCTCTAGAAGATCTACACAATGTCGGAATTCTTCACAGAGACATCAAACCTGGGAACTACACGATAGGAAGGAAAGAGATGAACGAATTGCGAAAGGTGATGTCTTCGCAGATGTCATTAAGAACCTTTATAAGGGATGAGTAAACATGATATAATCTTTACCTCGTGGTAGTTTTTTTTGTTAGCACTGTCTAACTCAAAACAAGCGATTTTAGATCTACATGCTTGATTTTGGCATGGCCAGAAAATTCATCAAAGATGACGGAACTTTGCGAAATCCAAGGTTTGTGCTCATAAGTCTTCCCATGACCACTGAAAAATCTAGAGCTCGAGCCGGCTTTCGTGGTACAGTGAAGTATGCTCCAATAGCATGCCATGTGCATCGAGAACAGAGCCGTAAAGATGACATCGAGAGCTGGATGTATATGCTGGTAGAAATTACTTGCGGTCGGCTTCCTTGGAGAAATCTGACGGTAATGATTCCACAAAAAGATACGAAGCTCAACACTGAAATTTCGCTTAAATTTACCCTGCCATGCCCCTGTAACTTCGACAAGGTTTTGTAGGAGTCGAACGACGTCGGCTTGTTCAAGAAGGATTGCAAAGGCGAACGCTATCGATGTCTTTTCGGTGGTTGCCCTCGAGAATACACAGAGATTTTCCCAATTCTTGACAAGGTAGCTTGTTCTTCTTTCTTTGAAGCAAACTGCTGCGCTATTGTTTAGGGAAAATTCTTCGACGCACCAGAATATCCGGCCATCTATAAGTTGCTTGAGTCTGCCCTTCAAAGTACTCGTGCTCAGGAGTATCCTTACGACTGGGAAATGTGACTTAATAAACTGGTTGATTCTTGCAAGATACATAGTAGAATTCAACAGACATCGTAACACGAAGTCGAGCTTTTGACAGACTTCATCGAAACAGCATTATAGCGTATGCATTTGCCACATATTTGAACTTATGGAACTGGCATAACTTTTTCGTTGATACACTTATAAACTCGGTATCATTCTGAAAAGCTTACCTCGATAAGCCTTAGGCAGAACTCATGCAATTTTAGTTGCCATACGACTTGGTGATGTCCCAGATATTTAAACTTCTGCAATCCATTGAATATGAAGAACATGGGACAGCTATCGTCTCATAGGGGCTATACACGCCGTGTTTGTACTCTACTGGTAGTGCTTATGAAGACTCTAGGTAGTTGATAATCTGCCGGGAAATCGGGCAAGGAGTCCGACCTGTGAATGAAACTTCAGAGCGCTCAGCCGGTCAGACAGCAGCCAGATGCTGCCAGTCTATGAAGTAGAAGCGCCTCAGTCTCTGCAATGCCTCTTTTTGTTTTATTTACCATAAGACATCTGCGGGATAAAACTTAATAATAAGCTTTCAGAGGGTTAGAAAAGATTAATCTTTATATAAATAAAACTCAATCTCTGTAAATTTGTTCGTATGTAAGTATGTGGCTTATAGACTCCTTTGTTTGTGAACCGGCTGAAATTTGCTCCCTTATAAATGAGACCAGGCGCAGAAGATAGGCTACTTTTTGCGACGATTCACTGGGTCCTTCTATCCATTTATTGATTTGTTCACTCACATCTAAGGGAACAAACTCATCAATCATTCCTGGATCATAGTTGGGTAAGCGGAAAAGTAAAGATCATTTACATTTTGCGGCGTGGAGGATCCAAGATACTGGAAGCAGCCGAAGGAAGACGAAGTCTCAAGAAGTGCCGAAGAGACCTCTGTGAATATCACGTACCGCTGGCTGCACAATTAAACGAAGACGGGACTCCGACTTCTTCCCGATACAAGATGGAATCTATCGCGAAGAACATCTACACCAACCTCATCCGCTCATCACCAGTGCCGATGCCCGTTGTTCCCACTGGAGAAGTACTACCACGAATTCTACCTGCTGAAGTGCGCACGGCGATTCAGACCATGAAGACATTCACGGCTCCAGGACCAGCTATCTTTCCGTCGAATTTCCGCGAGCCGGAGGACAACGTCTACACGAGATTCTCGCGTCGCACTGACATCTTACCTTCAGAAGGAGAGGATTCCCGGCCAGTGGAGAACGTAAAGAACCGTCCTTCTTTTCAAGAAGGGTGAACGGGAGGATATTCGGAACTACCGTCCAATATGCCTGCTGAGTGTGTTGTACAAGCTTTTCACGAAGATTATTCTCGCACGCATATCTAGGACACTGGATGAAGCCCAACCCCAAGAACAAGCTGGATTCCGCAAGGTATTCAAGCTGCATGGACTACATCCAGACGGTTTCCAGAGTCATAGAAGTCTGCCGGGAGTACCGACTGCCTCTCGTCTTATCCTTCGTCGACTATGAGAAAGCCTTCGACAGCGTTCAAACCAACGCCATCCTGTCAGCGCTAGTCAATCAAGGAGTGGACCCAGCCTACGTGAGGACACTAGCCAACTGCTGCAAGGACTGTACAACAACGATGCAGCTGTTCCATCGCCCCCTGACCATTCCAATCGGGAAGGGGGTCCGACAAGGCGACACAATTTCGCCGAAGCTGTTCACCGCGGCCTTGCAGTGGATGATGAAGTCACTGGACTGGGACGAGAGAGGCATGCGAGTTGATGGGAAATTCCTGTCTACTTCGTTTTGCGGACGACATCGTTCTCTTCTCGAGCAGTATCACCGGAGCAGAGACGATGCTGAAGGAACTAAACGAAGTAGGGAAAAAGATCGGATTGCGAATCAATCGGAAGAAGACTCAGTTCATGAAGAACGCCCTTTGCGAAGATGCAGAAATGGAACTAGGAGGCACCACTGTTATGGAGACGTCTTCTTACGCGTATCTCGGACGTTTGATGAACATGGAGAACGATTGAGGGAAGAACTTAACAGGAGAAGAAGAGCAGCCTGGGCCGCCTTCGGGCCTCTGAAGGAAGCCACCGACCAACTGACGGACCCGGAGCTTCGTGCCCACCTGTTCGACTCAACCGTTCTCCCGGCGCTCTGTTACGCAGCTGAGACTTGGGCTGACACAATAGCCACGTCGAAAGCCTTACCACTCACAGAGCGTTCGAGCGCAGTCTTCTGAAGATGACCCGACACAAGCAACATCTAGTCGGATTTGGCAGTACGGATTGAGAACAATGTCCCGTCTTCGTAGCCCAGCGGAATACGTTGCGAAAGCGAAACACCGATGGGCCAGTCACATTATGAGAAGAACAGACGACAGATGGACACTAGGAACATCTGAGTGGAGTCCTCGCGAAGCCAAACGTCCCCGAGGAAGACCACCAACGAAATGAGCAGACGTGTTCGTGGAGCGGATGGACCTGCTGAGAAATCAGCTGGATACGATTATCACACCTGGAACTCGTGGACGCAGCCACCGACGGCAACCAAGAAGATCGTGGATGTCTGAAGCGAGGGACAGGGACAAATGGCAACTTCAGTGCTGGGCCCACACGCCACGTGAAGACGAGCCATCTAAGTATCTGAATAAGTAAGTAAGTGGACGTTCCTGAAACTGGCATACAAAATTTTGTATAGGGCATTTGAAAAATCGTGACAATGGCGCGACCGCGCGCGACGCGCCACCACTTCCGGAAATTGCATTTTCTTAGTTCTTATCTCTAGTTGAATGGTTTTTTGCTACGTATGATAATATTTAGACGCTGGAAGTGGCTAAGCTGAACATTAAGGTGATGCCTTCTTGTATGAGCGTTTTATGCTCCGATAGGCGCAAAGTCCGCAGTAAATACGTCGTCACGATTCTATAAGTGTACTATAAGTCATTCTGACCGCGCAGTCTATATGTTTTGGGGAAATGTCAGAGAGACTTGAGATAAACTCTCTCTGACATTAACAGACGCTTGCACGATACCAATCTCTATAAAATGTTATTGTTAAATTCCTATTTGATCCTTGTACTTGTCCGTCCGATAGGCATGACCGAGCATTTTGTCAAGGTCAAGGAAACCTTAGTCTGATTATTAGACTGGAGTCTCCGCTTGACTGCAAGTCTTCAAGTGCGCATCGTACTCATCGAAGTCAGGTCATCCATATGTTCCATAAATCTTTACGTCCTCAGCCTACAACTGCACTTTGACTGATGGCGATGTTTTAAGTAATAGGGGCGACGCCATAGTGTAAATCAGTATAATAACGGCGAAAGTGATACTCCTGAGGAACACACTACGGCATAAATTTCTATCACAATAATCGTGATCAACTCTAATCGTCATATGTCTATCCAGTACAATACCGCTCATAATTCGTCAAAAAAGTCGCCGGACTGCGGCGCACTCCGCCACACTCCGCCGCAGTGCGCCGCTATGATCGTCAATTTAGCCATATCTCGCTTCAGAATGGACGAATCCTGAATCCGAGGACACCGTTCGATTCAACTCGACGAGACGCATCATCCTATATATAAAGCTGAACGTCTGTTTTGTCTGTTTGTCTGTACGTATGTTCCGAATAGAAAAATCCATTTCTGAACCGATCCGGACCAAAATTGGCACACATACATTGTATGTGTGCCAATTTTGGGGCCCCGGCGGGTGTCATAGGCTACTTTTCGTCGTCAATTGATATCGATTTTATCGATTTTTATCGATTTTTTTGCAAAGTTTGAGCTACGGGGCTGGGAGTTTGCACAGGGGGGTAATCGAGCATGGGGATTCCGAATACAATATAGTTTTCAGAATTATCGATTATTATTTTGGTTGAATTCAGTGTGCTGATAACAGTATTACCATTGATCTGTCGCTGATGACACATAGACAGTATACTATAGGAGTATGGTAGAGAGCCACTCTGATCGAATTTATTCTAAGATCTGCTCAAGATCACGATACCGCGCACAGAATGTCAAAATTTCCGTGAATTTCGCGGTTCCGGGATTTCCGCCAAAGTGCGCGATAGTCCGGGAAGTTCGCGACATTTCAGGATCCGCGAAACCACGCGAATCACGCAGAGTACGTAACGCCATAACTTCCTTCGGGATGAATGTATTCCGAATCCAGAAGCAGCATTGTGATCAGATCGTCGAGTCAAATATTATGATATACAGTATGCTCTCAATATTCCATTTCCAGTTTTATCAAATTTTTTTCTGTGGAGGTCTTTTCGCAAGGATGTAACGCAGCGTCTGTGTAACATAAAAGATTCCAGTAAGCACTGTTCGATAGTACTGTCCTTGTAGGTTATCGTGCGTTCAAGAGTAGCTGCAGACTGTCTCCCAAAAGAGATAGAAGCGTTGGTGAATTTTGGAAAAATCACGCGTTTCTAATTTCTACTCGCCGTAACTTCCTTCGGGATGAACATATTCTGAATCCGAAGAAAGCTTTGTGCTCAGTTCATCAAGGCAAGTCTTTCGATATACAGCATATCATTGATATTCCGATTTCAATATTCTCAAATCTTTCTGTAGACGTTTTTTCGTGAAGGTGTAAAGCAGCGCGCATTGCTCCTAGTAGACTCCAGCAAAAACTTTCGATAGTACTTTTTCTGTAGATTACGCAGCGCTAAAAAGTAGTCACAGGCATCTTTCCATAGGAGTTAGAAGGGCTGGTGAATTCTGGAAAAATCATGTCGTTCTAAATTTTTCTCAACGTAACTCTAAAACATGAAGCTCTCTTGCTATGCAGATGTGATTTTCGTAATCAGCAGGTCGGATAACTCTTATAAGCAGGTTTTCCAAGATGTTCGAGTAATTTCATTTTTTCTCGTTTTACGCTCTGAAGCTGGCCGATGGATTTTGGTCAAAATGTTCATGCTCTTAAATTGTAAGGAAACTTCGCTCATAGAGGTTTTCGAACACGCTCTTTACGAAAATCGTGGTTTTTGGGGA